CAAAGCAAACCACATGTTTTGGAGGTATTTCTACGTGTCTTAATCTGAATGCCTTTCAGTTCATTCGCGTCAACCCAAAGGTCAATCTCCGATGCTCGTCAACACATGTGGTACTTCAGTGGTTTGGGACATTCTAAAGAACGTACAACTATGTTACAGTGGTAGAGTCTAAGTTCGCTGATGTGGCTGCTCTCATGCAATTGGATGAAACATGTCCAACAAAACGTTCTAGTACCATCGCATGATGGCGAAGCATTGGCTCACACGGAAGAATCTCTAACTCGCACGGATCTTCGTACTTCTACTTGAGAGTATTTACGCGTGTTCATGAAGGTGTATTCTGTGAATCCCGAGAAGGGGGTGGCATCTGCTAGACGGTGGGAATAGTTCGATGTCGATACCTCCATTTTCCTACCGTGAAAAGTGAATATAGTTCCCGTGGCCTTTCTGTTAATAGTACAGAATGTATTGTCCTTTTACCCAATTTGGACATTTGTGCTGACTCGCCAAATCTATCGATTCTTTGTAGGAGTACTGAATTTACTGTTAATATGTAAAAAGGTGGTTGGTACGTATCACACTAATAAAATCACACACTAATTTGACGTTGATGATGGTTTCCTGCAATGTGTTGGCAAATCCTTCTGCCGGACGAATGAAGCCTTCATGATAACACATTACCGACAGCAGCATGTCGATTAATATTCATTACTATCGTCACTATTCAGCTTGGAGGGGGTGATTGATACCTTGGTTTCTCCTCTGCCTTGGCTGTTGCATGCTCCTTGTCGGTTGGTAGCGATGTAGCAGGGTACTTCTTGGCCACGTCTTGTATTCGCGAGGCGGATAGATTCGATATGTCCTTCGCGATGCTACTAACGACTGGAAGTGGGTCATAAGTGATGGCTTTGACGTCATTTCTGGGTATATGGGGCTCCATGGACTGTCGAAAGTACGCCAGCGCCATGGCCGACCGCGCGAGGCGTTCGACTTGTTCGGCGCTGTACAGCTTCTTCTCGGGGAACTTCATGCCTTCCCACAACTCCTTCATGAACGATACATCCATGGGGCTGCGTTGTGGATCGTGCTTGTGCATTTGTAACCAATGAAACTCGACGCGATGCAAGTTGAAGCACGCCCATTCGGTCTCTACTTCCAACGTCGTGGGAAACGTTGCGTCATCTGTGTCATTGGAATCGACTCGTGAAGGTTCGTCGTCGGACTCTTCGACGTCGAGATCGAAGACATTGCCAAGCAACACGTCGATGGTGTCGTTCGCCAACAGCTTGGTGCCCTCGCTGCATTGAGTTCCGCCACTGCCGACGCTTCCTGCCTGCGCCACGAACTGCTCCACGGTGTACGCGGTCTCGGCCCAGTATGTTGTAGCAGCCGACAAGACCGAGTGCGCTCGTATGATACCCATGGGGTGGTGCTGTTGTCGTCGCCAACTCTGGCGGCACTTTAACCATACAAAATCACTTGGGTTTGAATTTTCACTTGGGTTTTGTATGCTCCTCCTTCTGTAAAAAAATATCGACCACCAATCATATTCACGTATTTATTTAATTATTTCAATGACCGATGATCCGATTGGCTAGGATTTCGGTATATATTACAAGTGGATTGGCTATTATAGGTATAATATGACTAATTTCTGATTGGATTTACTACAATATTGTGGATTGGGTACAAATTTCCAGACACCATTTCCGAAATCGACGTAACGTATGAGCAGAAAGGTTGGGCTTTCTTCTGATTTTTTAATCGGCTTGAATAGAGCGTTCATTTACTTCACTTTCCACTCATGTCAAGGCACAGTTTAAGCTTAAAATATGTATGCTGGGTTTGCATATATTTTGGGGATTTCATTTTCTAGTGATTCGATTGGCTATTCCAAAATTCAAGCAATTCCATTGGCCAATTTGAGTGCACACTGGCCATCAAGTATCGTTTTTGGCTAACATATGTAAATCCTATTTTGAGTGGGTAATTACGGTCAACGATGTACCTTTATAAACGGATAAAAATTGTATGTATTGTGCTTTTCACATATTTTGCCCGTTGTTTTAGCTCCTAAAACCATCCAAAGTTTAACCTAAACTGAAGTTGCACTCGACGTAAAAGTAAGCTTCCCCACCGTTCTGTCATTGGCTGATCTAAAACTTGCGTTGTTTTACTAAAACTACTTCGTTTTATTAACTCCCGTGGCCAAGCAGTCATGCAGAGTAATGACCTACTGGGGTAAGCTCGCAGTGCACCAGCTTACACGAGCTTTGCAGCCAGCTTGTTAGCAACTCGTTGGCACGAAAAGTCGAGCAAGAAGCACTCAACATCAACCTTTATCGAGCATAGTCAAGAATCACACTCGCGTGTATTAGGTAATCCACTCTGTAAACCCCCGCGTTTGCCGAAATGAAATGGGCAAACGCTTCAGGTTAGCAACATATGCTGCA